AAAAAAAAAAAAAAAAAAGAAAGGTTAAAGGTCTTTAAGGCCGTTATCCCAGCAATATTTTCCAAGGAATACAAAAAGCAACTGTTCAGCTTATCACTTACTTATGAGGACAGATTAGACAATCTTTAAACCTGCACTTAACACTTACTAAGTGTTTCTGAATTAATGAAAACGGCCAAATCAATTGCCCTAGAATGAAAGAGTGATCCAATAATAAATCATTAGTTCCAGGGAGCTATATGATTTGAATGTCCCCTCCACAACTCATCTTGAAATTGAACTGCCACCGTAATACTCTGTAATAGTAGTAACAGGCAGGTCTGTTAAAAGGCGATTAGGCAGGTGATTGTCGCAGGAGCGGGTTCATTATCTCGAGAGTGGGTTGTTATGAAAACGAGTTTGGCCCTCTCTTGCTCTCAAGCTCTCTTGCCCTTCTGCCTTCTGCCCATGACGCAGCAAGGAAGTCCTCAGCAGATGCCAAGCAGATGCCCTTGAACTTCCCAGCCTCCAGAACTGTGAGCCAAATAAATCTCTTTTCTTTATAAATTGCCCAGTCTGTGCCATTCTGTTATGGCAGCATAAGATGGACTAAGACACAGGGTAAGACACGAGTTCAGAGTCGGAGATCAGAGAAAAACACTCAGATTGCTATGTAGTCATTCATTTCCAGAAAGAGTGAAACTAGTAAAAAAACCAAAATGCTGATTAAAAGGACAAGTGTCTTTTCTCTGGTTCCCTCCTCAAAATTCCGACCAATAAAAAAATTACCAAGCCTCCTGAGAAGATTGAAGAATATTTTAAACTGCTTTTCTAGAGGAGACACTGCCAGCTAAAATCTTTTATCTTGGTAACACAGAGCAAACCTGATCCATTAAAGACATCTTCTGCCATGTATGTATGTTCTACATACCCCACTGTCATGACTTCCCCAGAGTTCTTGTCGGTAACAAAATTGTTGGCCACAGTCATGAGCAATGATTGAATGATCTGAGTTGGGAGCAAAAGAAGAGATGAATGCTAGTAAAACATCTGTACCTACTCAAACACTTGAGGATGCAAGGACAACAGATCATTCACAGTGGAAAAACAGCCCTCTACCTTCGGTTTGGGAGTTGGAAGGAATCGAGGGTGAAAACACTCCACTTAGGAGTTATATTCTTAGCTATCCTCAGACTAAATTTTATTCTCCTTTAACATTATTTTAAAATATAGATGGAAAAAACTGCTTTGACACAGGATAATCCAACAGTGTTTTAATTAAGGAAAGGAACTATAAGCTTTGAAAAATAATCACTGTAAACTTGCTAATATTCTTGACTTTCCCTAGTCATAAAATTTGGTTATTAAACAAAATCGGAATTCTCAAGAACCTGTCCAAAAGAAACTTCACTGTCAGTGAGCTGTACAACTGAAGTTCTGTGTATACCTCCTTAAGACTTAGTGTCTCTTCCACCCACTTAAAGGCGGGGTTGGGGGAAAAAGCTCCTGTGGGAACAGTGACTGACGCGCCGAACAGTAACACTACTACCCATGCACTAGATCCAGAAGGCAGGTTAAGGGTTCTCACCTCGGGGGGTACCAGGTGATGAGACGCTTGTGCGGCAAACAGAAGAATCTTTGTTACTTCTGCAAATGTAGAGAACAGAAAGGTCACAGTTGGTTTGCTGCCCTGCTTCTCAGGACTGCAGAAACATGGCAAGCATGTTCTGGCCTTAATGCTATTGCTGTCTGTTCCACCTGGCATGCCCAACCCCAGATATCTGCATGGCTCACCCCCTCGTTTTCTTCGGGTCCCTGCTCAACTGCTGCCTTATCAACAGGTCACACAATCTAAAACAGAACCCCCAAAACACTCCCTATTATCCTCACCCTGCATCCTTTTTCTTCAAAGCACTTATCTTTACCTGGATATATTACAGAGAACTGTCTGTATCTCCCTCTAGAATGTAAGCTCTACGAGGGGAAGGACTTTGCTTTATGTTCACTCTTGAATTCTTGGTGTCTAACGCTGTGCCTGGCATAAAAATAATTAAATACTTGTTGAATGAATAGATGAATAAATACAAATATACATATATTCACACACTCTCCCTTCAAAGGGGCAGTATAGTGTAAGGAACAGGTCCTTGGCAAAAGAAAGACGTGAGGTGAATCCTGATTTGCCATTTATTTGCTGAGGGACCCTGGTGGGGTTTTTTCCCTTTCTTTCTATACTCACAGGACTGACGTCAGGATTAGATGAGATGATGTATGCAAAGCGCTTAGCATAGTGCCTGGCTCATGTTAGATGCTCAATAAATGTTGGTTTCTTTTCTACTTTGTTTCAAGTTCAAAGGCAACAACAACCATCTCTTCTTACCTACTTTTTTGCTGTTTTTATTGAGAATATACATGAGGTCAATGAGAAGAGTACGATAAAATCCTGCTATCTATTACAAAGATATATAGTAAAAGGTCAAATTTCTTTTTTAGAATTTTCCATGAGTACTTATGGTATTACAAAAAGATTTGCTTTGAGAAACAAATTTGTTGTTGTTTTTTTCAAAAACAATGGTTTCTTAAGGCTGATGAGCAGAACTAACCCATGGCCATGGCAGCCCTAGAGAGAAAACATAAGGGCTTCTCTCCCCTTCTCTGACAGAGAACACTTGTGCTCCTAACTCTGCCTTTAACGATTCCGGAACAAAAGACTCTGAATGTTTATTCTATTGCCAAAGCCAACAAAGAATCGTGGCAAGTGAGTGGCTTACCTCTTTGGTGGGGCTGCAGAAACCTTTGCACAAAGGGATAGAAGTTGAAGAGGAAAAGCTGTAGAGAGAACACTGACTTTAATACTGATACAACCGACGCTGTGGAGTTTCACTGCTCAGATCAACTAATTGGGAATCACTTTTCACTTTTGTTTTTTCTCAGTAACCAGCCATGTGCTAGGATGATTCGATATGCTGTATTAACCAAGGAAAGGTGCTCTTTCTCAAATGAGGCTGTGCTGCTATCCTTAAGGAGGAGAAAGTGTATGCAGAATTAACTAAGGGAAGAGGTAAACAAAACGTTAACATTCTTCTATAAAAACTGCTGTGGCTGCAGAACTGATTTCTTAGTGTTCTAAGAGAGAGGGATTACAGGAAGGAACGGCATTGATATCAGGCTCCAAAGCAAGGGACAAAACAGTAAATCGAATCTCCATACTACCTACTACAATTTATTCACTAAAAAACCCACTGCTGGTTTTATTATTGTACACCAGTCCAACCACATAAAGGAATTACTCTGTGCTCCATATTTTTTTTTTTTTGTGCTCCATATTTTAAAGAGAAAATACTAATACTCTGGAGACTACCTAGATAAAGTTGACCAGGACCCAGTTATTAAAGAAACAGGTAATGTTTTAACTTAAAGAAGAGAAATTTTGGAGATGGACTGGTTTTTTTTCTCAATTTTCATCATGTGGGAATAGATTAATTTTTTCTACTTTAGCTACAGAGCAAAAAGTAAGATGGGCCACTAAGAAGTAACAGGGAAGACTTTGGTTCAACATGAAGATGGATGTCCAGTTTTAGTCAGTGTGAAAATCCAGTGTCATTCCATCAAACCACGCTCAAATCGCAAATCCCTCTTGCCTTCCTCTTGAGCTCAAACGCAGGTCTGAATGAAATGACTGCACAAATGCAACAAGAACTGACCTGGTGATCCTACGCTGGGACTACAGCCCACGCAGAAAAAGAAATGTAGTCGGTAAAATGTTAACAGGTTTTTCTTAGATAAAGGCAACAAGTACTTTCATTCACGTGTGCTTTCATTTTTGACAGAGACAGGGTCTCACTCTTGCCCAGGCTGGAGTGCATGGTGCCGTCATGGCTCACTGCTGCCTTGGACTCCTGGGCTCAAGCCATCCTCCTGCTTTAGCGTCCGGAGTAGGGCACTACAAGCACATGTCACCATGCTCGGCTAATTTTTCTTATTTTTTTGTAGAGACAGGCTCTTCCTATGTTGCCCAAACTGGTCTGAACTCCTGGCCTCAAGTGACACTCCCGTCTCAGCCTCCCAAAGTGCTGGGATTACAGGCATTAGTTACAGTGCCCAGCCTCTTGTTTTACTTTTTTATTTGAAAAAATTCTTTAAGGAAAACAACATACTCAATGATGTTCACAGGAGCACGTCACAAGATCAAAATGATATAGAAAAACCTCAATGGTTATTTCTTAATGGCCTAAATTTTTGGGCATCTCTTTTTCTACGATGGCATCTGGTCTAAGAGTATATGTGAAGTTCCCATATGTATACACATATATGCCATCAAGGAGCCCTTGCAATCTAATTTAACACATTAACTGCCATGTGAGTTGTATTGAACTCATGCTAGTTTTGAGCCCAGGGCCTCTTGAAGCATATATAACTCACACATCTCTTCACCTTGGGAGCCAAGAGAACTATTTTTCAAATTGCATATAACTCATGCACAGAAAACAATAAAAAGTAACAAATTTTTCATTAAATTAGAAAGGATCATTTTGTCTTCGAAGTTTTTATTCTATTTTCATAATAAAACACCGTGGCCCCAGGAAAAAAATTTTTCTCTATTGTGGCAGTTAGTATGTTAATATAAAATAAATAACCAGAAAATCCAGCTTTGCAAACGTGACAATTTCCTAGTGGAGGGATCTGGAAGTCAAGAAAGCCAAGAAGGGTTAAACAAACAGAAAGATGTAATAATGGTCAGTAAAAATATGTACCTTATGTTGGCTCAGGAAAATGTCTATGTGAAACAAAGTCAATACAAACGAAGTAGAAAAGCAGAACACAAAATAGCCTGTCCAAAAACTGAATATACGTACAAATTAACATATTTATTTCAAGGAAAACAAAGTGATATAAGCCGCTATTTTTAGAGATTTTATTCTTCTATAAATTGTATGTGTTTAAATGTTTGGGGAATAAAATTATGCCACTCTTCTATCTAATGGCTTTCCTTTTTACCAAAATTAATTCTACTTCTAATATTCACCAAGAGAATCATAATGTGATCCAAACCTCATGAATTCCTACTAATCTGGAGATGAGGTTCATGAGCATCATCTTCACTTCAAACCTCTCCTTAGAGCTCTCCAGCTGCTTTAGTAGTTTTTCCGCAAAATCTGGAAAGGAGAAGACCAAAGAAGTATACTGTAAGGCCATGGTCTGTACAAAATTTATATATTAATAACAGGTGTAGGAAAATGGAGTAGTTGAATCAGTGAAAAGATTGATACACAGGTGAATACACTTTTTAATGGTGCCCAAAGTAAAGTCTTAAGGAGTCCCAAGATTTTCAGCATCAACAACTAGAGTGAGTATTTGATAGATGCTCTACTTAATAGCTCTCCAGAGCCTTACTTCTCAAAGGGTGGTCCACAGACCAGCAGCAGCTGGGAGCTCCTTAGAAGAGCAGAATCTGCGCTTTAACAAGTCCCCCGGGTGATCTGGATGCACATTAAAGTCTGACGGACACTAATCTACAGCAGAGGTCACCAAATGTTGCCACATACCAGAGAACAAAGAGCATCTACTAGTCCTCGACACCCAGCCACGTCCCATACCAACTAAACCAGAGTCTCCGGGAATGACAGGACTCAATTCCCCAGGTGATGCCAATGTATAGGTTAGCTTGAGAATTAGCGTTCTAGAACAGGGTTTCCCAGGCTTTCAGTTTCCACAGACTCGTTTTTTTAAAAAAAGGAACGACAAAAGACTGTCAATTTTTTATTTGGTCAAGTACAATGTGCTAATATTGTGTCGTTGAAGACATGAAACTCAGAAAGGCCTGTTGTTCCACATGTTTATTTTGTTGTAAACTGGGAGTCATTGCTTTAGAACATAATTCTCTTGGTTACAACTAACTAGTAATAATTAAGCATTTATTGACTGTCTATTAAGTGCCAGGGATCTTATTAATATATTCCCTGACAACCCTGAAAGCAGGAAACAAAACAGGCAGGGATAAGGCCAACAAGGAACTTGGGAAGTCATAATATAGTACCTTGGGGATCATGAATCAAATGAATAGCTGAAAAATTAAACACTTCTGGCTTTTTTTTCTTCTTTTGTTTCTGAAAGGGAGAGGGAAAACATTTCCAGTCTGAATTACAGTGATCAAGCCCTTAGAATTCAATGTGCTAATGTGCTAAAGGCTTTTTATGAAGTCTTTTAGACTATTTAAAATGAAAAAAAAAAAAAAATCCTTGTTCCCAAAACCTTTCTTTCAACTGGAAGAACAAAAGTTGGTTTTTGCCTTTTAAAGTTAATCCCAAGATTAAACCTTGGGAATGTTCCAGCCATTAGCACCTGTGAGACTTAGAGAAATTTGCAAATACAAACATTAAAAAACACACAAGGGCCAAATTAATGATTTTCAGAATAATCATTACAAATTAGCAAACGTACTTTATTCATACACTCTTCTGAGAAGACGTGTCTAGCAAAGACACCCTAATATAAGCCACTGTGATCAGAAGACATGAAAAGTGAATTTGATAAAATTAATTGATCCAAGTCATAGATTTTGCTAGAGCTGATTATATTTATTCATCTAAGGAATTAGTGCTTAAAAATTCATCACATATTTCTAAGTCTTTTGCAAATGCTATTCCTTGATTTTAAATTCTTAAAGAGCTCTGGCTAAAAACTACATATTCTGCATTCCAATGATTCCTATCTCATTTCCAAAATCCAAGTCTCACCTTGAGCACTTTCATTGCCTTTTCCAACTTTTTCTTGTTTTTGGAACTTTTCTTCCCTGTAGCATACTGCACTAGCAGGTCTCTTGCTGTTGGTCCTTCATCCTGAAGAAGAGACTACTTTGTAAAATCATAAACAAGGAAAATCTGCATAGAAGCAAAAATCAGTCCTTTCATCCACTTCTTGGTTGTTATGCTCTTTGCACACAACTATTAGAAATGAATACAACTTTTAAAATCAAGTAAAATATAGGTATACACATGTGCACGAGTGCACAAACAGGCACATACAAAAATTTTCACTATAGCATTGATATCTGTCTCTCACTATGTGTATATGTATATATGCGTGCACGCGTGCGTGCGTGTGTGTGTGTGTGTGTATTTATATATATTTTGAGGGGTGGGTCTTACTCTATCACCCAGGCTGAAGTGCAGCAGGGAGATCACACAGCTCACTGCAACCTCAAACTTCCAGGCTCTAGCGACCCTCCTGCCCTGCCTCCTGAGTAGCTGGGACTATAAGCGTGAGCCACCGTGCCTGGCCTGCTTTTGCTTTTTATAAATAGAATGCAACTTTGTTTTTATTTGAAAAAAGAAACTGAAAGCAAATATTTATCAAAAGGGAAATGCCTAAATAAACTATAATGCATTCATATTCTGAAGTATGTGGAGGTTAAAAGGTAGATCTGTATGTATTAATAACTTAGAAGATCTAAATGCACTTGTAGATCTATATATATTGACACAAAGAAAGCGAGTTGCAGAATAATACATGTTATTTATATAGTTTTTAAAAACCTACTATACACATCAGACTATATATGCACATATCCATATATAAATACATGGAAAATAAAATGGTCATCTGTGAAGAAGGAGCTGGAAGTAGAAATAAGACAGGGTCAAGAAAACTTTTATCTGTAGTAGCTAGAAATTTTTATGTGAAAGTTGTCAGAATCAAAATGGAGTCACTTGTGTTAAAAATACCCTGACAAATAATGCTGGGGAAGCCCATGAAGAGAGGGTCTGATATACAAATGCCTGATAATAAAAACTATCACAAAAGACTGCAATAAACACAACCTTGCACAAACACCATTGCAATCTTACACAGAAAATATTTCTGCAAGGACATTTTCTCAGCAGCTGCCTGTCCAACCTCGGACTGGCACCCCTGTTGCTACTGACCCTTGGATTAGCCAATAATTATCTCAAAACAGTTATGTGATCCTCTTCATTTTTCCTTTAAAAACTTGTCTTTCTTTACCTTCCTGAACACACACATACCTTACTATGGCAAGCATATTCCCACTGCAATGCCTTATTCCTGAATAAGTATCATTTTCAGT